TGATTTCGGCGCTGTCGCCGCTGGACGTGGCCAGCGCCGCTGCATCCCGACTCCGCGACCAGCAGCATGGATCCTCGTCGTCGCCGCACCAGGCGTACTCACCCGGTCTGCCGCTATCACCGGCGGCCCTGATTCCGAGTCCGTACAGCACCGATCTGCAACAACAGGGGCTGCCGTCGTCGCCATTCTCGCCCATGCGTTTGCAGTCATCGACTGCTGCTGCTGCTGCGGTAGTGGTGCTGGAGGACGAGTCGCCCGAGAAATTGCTGGGGATGCGTGCGTCGGCGTTCCGCACCCGTGCCGCCCAGGCGCTGGCACGCGAGCTGGCACGCACGCCGCTGGCGATGGTGTCTCTGCCGCTGGCACCGGAACAAGTGCAGGACCTGGCAGACCGCGTCACGGAGCGGCTGGTGACGGAGCTGCGGTCCGACAAAGTGGCGTTGCTGGATCACTTGGTGCTGGCCGAAGTGCAGGCGCACCTGGACGGGCTCTGGCGCGAGCGGTCCGCGATGGCGGCCAGTGCCAGTGCCGTGTAGATTGGAATATATGCAAAAAGATCTGTTTTTATTGGCAAGAGGACACAACCCCCACCCGCAGGTGGCGACTCCAGCCCGCCTCAAACGGCGCCTGGGTGTGTCTCGGGTAATGGCACCGTCTGGGGTTTTTAAGCCTGGTGCTCCGCCAAGTCCAACTCCAGGACGGCCTGCGCCCTGTTGAAGATGTTGAGGGCGACCGATTCGCTCTTTACTGGCTCGCCAAGGCAAACCTGGGCGGGCAGCTGGTGGACGAGGACGTTCCCAGGGCTCTCGAGTTCTTGGAGCGCGCGGCCATGCTTGGTTTCGTGGACGGTATGTTCCTCGTTTTTTTTTTGAATGCAACGGCATGCACATTTAATAACGGACTACACGTACAGAGATGGAGATGCTCGCGGACCAGTACCTCGAGGGTGGTGTTGCAGAGGAGGACGCCGATCTGGCGTACGAGTGGCTCAAGAAGGCGGCGGACAAGGGCTTGGTGTCGGCGATGTGCACGATGGCATGGATGCACGCAGAGGGGAAGGCGGCTGATGCCTCCTCCGCCGAGGCCGTGGTGCTGTACAAGCGCGCGGCTGAAAAGTACGGATCCTCCGCGGCCCGAGTGGGTCTGGCGGCGATGTACATGTTTGGCACGGGCGTCACGCAAAGCGTGTACCAGGCGCGGTTGCTGCTGCACCGGGCGGCGGGGCTGGACAACGACGCGGCCATGTTGATGTGTGGATTGGCAACCAAGTACGAGGCAAGGTCCCGCTGCCATCAAGAATCAACACGGGCATATGTCCAACAGTGTGCATCGGGTTTGGCGTCCGGCAGACAGTCAACGCGACATTGGTCATTACCGTAGATGGTGCCGTCGCGTGGGAGGGAGAGCGGCCAGATCCGATCCTCTTCCCGGCAATTGGCGCATCAGGAACCATTGTCGCTGGCGGGATGTACGTCTTATCGGCCAATTTCGGCCTTGCCTTGTTCAAATGGGAGACCGCCAACGTCGAGCGGGCCGGCCTGGAGCGAATGTAAAATTTTGTTTCTGCTACTCCGAGATCCAGAGGCTGGAAGTGCACCAATTTGGAGAAAAAGAAGAAAAAACAGAAGTTCATTCAGTCCTTCTTGCGGGCGACGCGCATGATGATATCCCACTCGACCGTGACGGGCATGAGCACCTTGGTGTTGGCATCCTTGGGCCACGCGGCTTCGAACCGCGGCTGCCATTCTGCCACCGGATCGAGTCCCGCCGCCTTCGCGTTCCCAACCGCGCTCCACGAGCTAATGAACCCGATCAAGTGCTCGAGCTCCCATGCATCCACGACCGTCCACGGCTTGGGTGCAGGTACCACTTCGACCAACTCGTCCACCACCGGGAACGGCAGCGCCGTGTACCGCGAGTCGACGTACTTGCGGATGATGCCGTCCCACCAGTGACCCGCGTGCAGCATTTCGTAGAACGCGTCAAACTCGGCCTGCAGTGCGGTGCTGGTGAGGCGCGGGATCGGGTACGTCCACACCGCCAGGTGGCCGCCCGGACGCAACGCGGTGGCTGCGGCGCCGTAGAACCGCGGCAAGTCGAACCAGTGCACGGCCTGGGCGACCGTGACCAGGTCGGCGGCGGCCTCCGGTACGTGGTCGGCCAGATCGGTCGCGGTGGCCACCGCGAACTGCACGTTTTTTGGGCCACCAACAATTTCGTTGGCCTGGGCGATCTGCCCGGGGCTGCCGTCGAGGCCCAGGACGCGCGAGTACCGCCGCGACAGCTCGAACGTCGCTTGGCCCGTGCCGCACCCGACGTCCACGGCCAGCGTGTCCTTGTTTTGATTGGTAGACGTAGAGGTAAGCGACCCAAGGTAGTCGTACATGGCGGCCGGGTACGTCGGACGGTACTTGGAGTAGTGGGTCGCCAGGCCGCCGAACCGGTCCAGGAACTCGGCCGGTTTCATCGCGTCGGTGTTGCTTTTGGTCATTGTGATGGCGGTCTTTGAGAGGGTGCGGGTCAGGGGAAGAAAGAGAGTGGGTGCGGCACGCTGGACAGTCCGGGCGAGCATTTATCTTTACCTTGAGTCAATAAGCGAGGAAGGGGAAGGGATCCACACGGTTGACTTATACGCTCAGCAGAGGATCACGTCGAGTCGAGCCGAGTTCCCGTTCCCGCCCCCACGGATGATTCCGCCACTGCATGAATGGATCATTTTATTCCCGGCCGCACGAGGAAGAGCGACTCAGAAATGGAAAAGACGGAGGAATCATAGAAGACACACGTCGCATTAAAGGATCCGCTGCCGATCCCGAGCATGGACAGCATCCGCTGGGCTATGGAAGGCGCAACAATCGGCACTGGTTTCACGGGCTCCGTTTCCTCCACGACGATCCAGTCCGGGTGAGCAAGCACTCCCTGCTCCCACCAGCGGACCACCTTCGAATCGATCACTTCGTTTCCCAACCGGTCCCGAACCGCGTCACTCACTGGTCCGATCTCTTGGCCGTGCACCCGCCGAACTTGGGCCCGGCGGGTCTCGAGCAGCGTTGGGGTGACTTTGATTGGCAACTGACGCGACCCCACAACGCCAGCGCAGGCAAGTTGCGCGCGAACCGGGAGTCATCGAGCACGTGGGCCGAGTACTTGAGCGGCAACCCACTGGTACGCCACCACTCGATCGCGTCCGTGGCAGCATGGTCGGTCGCGTTCTTGAGCGCTGCATCCGAGAATAGAAGCGGGTGACCGTAGTGTCCGTGTCCGCGTGACATTCACCACTCGAGCAACACGTACGCATTGCCCGAGCTGGGGCTGTCCATAGAGCTCGCGTTGTACAGGAACGGCACCGTGACAGGGTTCCGCGCGTGCTGGCTCGCCCAAAATTCCAAACCTGAAGTGCTGCTGTTGTTTGTTGCGAGGCGGATCGCGGCCGGGCTACATGGCATGACCTTTTTAGCGGCCACGTACTCGGCCAAGATCCAGTCAAGCAGAGCCACGTTCCCGCTCCCGCTGGCAGCAGCAACGTTTCTTTATTAATCTTGATGGTAGCCCCGTGCGCCTTGAGCCACTGCAACACTTCCAGGTGGCCGTTCTCAAAGATCTCGGTCTGGGATCTCGTCGACGCGCGGAACGGCGGAATGGGCATCTTGTGCTCGACGATCACCCACTCGAGCACATCGATGCGGCCCGCGTATGCGGCCTGGAGAGCCAAAAACGGAATCACTTGGCGCTGGAGCTTGGCCCAGAACCAGTCAAGCGTCGCGATCGGGCATTTCCACAACTCTGGGCCATCGGCAATTCGTTTAAGGGTGTGGAGTGGCACCTGGCGCGCCGAATAGTACCAGTCGAGAGCGTCGGTACGTCCCGCCAGCGCGAACCCCTCGATCCAGATCCGGTCGTCGTGGCCCATCCTCACGGCGGTCCCTGTGGTCTCCATCTCGGACACCAGCAGGTCCATGGGCGCGGTCATGGCGAAAGCGACTTGGTCAGCGCGGTCCCAGGTCATGGGCCGGCGCATAATGTCGGTATCGTGCGCAAATTCGTGGAACCACCGGGCAAGCGTGTCGGAATGGCGGCTGCGCGCGATTGCCTGGCCGTAGAACGCGGCCGAGAGCCGGTTGGACTGCGCCGCCGGAAGGTGCAGTCGCCACCACTGCAGTACCGTTAAGTGGCCCGCGGTGGTGCTGGCAAACAGGACCACGGACGGAGCACCGTATACGGCGACTTGGGCAAGCGAGAGATCCATTGTCGTGGTCCGCCACCAGTCCAGGACTGCAGTGTGGTTGCCCTCGGACGAGGCGGCCATGGCGTCGGCAACCGTGCCTAGCGCCGACAGCCTGATGATCGCCTCGTTGGTGGTGGCGGGACCGAAGGACCGCCCCGGCGTATAATGCCCGTGCGCCACCAGCCACGCCAGGACCGGCATAATGGCCTCCGCGCGACGCGTGGACGACCAGCTGGTGGACCGGGTCGCCTTTGTCTATCAAGGGAAGCCCAAGTTGGACCGCAGCACCAGGAGGTCGACGCGACCAGCACCTGCGGCCGCGACCGCCGTGCCTTGTTCCAGGAGCAACAATGCCATGCGTGCGGTGCGCGGAAGGGTGGCGGCGGCCGCGTTGACATTGAGCAGACACGTAAGCCGGTCCGGGTCGCTCACGCCCGCGGCCATGGCGTGCAGTAAATGACACACGGGCAACGCAGCGGCGAAGGCCAGGACGCGGTCAATGACGTCGAATGGAAGCATTTATTTTTATATCGACGAGGGCGAAGAGAACGGGAGCTCGGTGGGCGTCCAAGGGCGGACGAAGGGACACGGGCACGGCACAAGAGGGTGCAGTGGTGTCAGAGATGACAAATCTGCAGAGGACGCGAAGGAACGCGTACGCAGAGTCGTCGGCGGGAACGCGCCAGACGTCCGAAGTCAAAAAGCAATGTGACTTTGATCCAACTCCCATGCATCCTCCTTTGTGCCCACCGCAGAATAAAAAAAAGGTAGAGCCCAATCTCGTCGGGATTCGAACCCGAGTTTCTCGCACGGCAGAAGAGTGTCGTACCACTGGACCACGAGGTAGGGTGAAATTGAAATGTCCTCCTCACTACCACGTCTTGATCGAAATTGGAGATCAAAGATAATAATTCGCGAATAATTCACTCCCGTCATGCTTTCTGCTTCGCCTTCAGTGATTTTTTTTCGTTTAACAATGTACTTGAGAAGCAAAGCGTAGTCGGATTACATTAATAAAAATTCTGTGTGACGACTCGGCTTACGCGAGCACTGTTTTGCAGAAAAGTTGGAGAAAATATAAAGGTTGTGGGGAGAGGGAGCCGTAATTGAAACGCATACACGGCATCCATGCGCCTTGAGCCACCAATGATCAAGACGCTATCCTGCCGTGCTAGAAATTCGGGTTCGACTCCCAAAGGGATTGGGCTCCCCATTTTTTATACCATGAGGGTGTGCTTGGCCATCGATATGTTGGTGGACGCCGTGGCGGTGCTGGCGTCGCGGCACACTTTTGCTCTGGTTAACGCAATACAGTTCCTGGCGATCCTGCCCCGCGCGCGCATTCCACGAGCACACCGTGCCATCCTTCGCCGATTCATGGCACGCACACACCTCGGCGCCTTGGGCCAACTCGACCTTCTTGCTCTCGTTTCACCATCAACCGAGTTTGAGCTCAACCGGATCGCCCTTGGCGCGTGTGCGCAAGGCCACATCCCGATCCTGACCTGGGTTTATGGCGTGCACCCACGCTGCTCGGTCTTTTTGCCGCCACCACAGTCGTTTCTGGACGAGGACACGCTATTTTCCGAGTTTCTCGCGACTGCCTTTTCGCACCACCAACTGGGCGTCCTGGACTGGCTCTCGGCGACGCTCGGTGCCGAAGTTCTTGCGCCGTTTGCCCCGCTCATGGCTCAATGCGCGACACAGTGCTTTGATGTGCCAGCGCTGAAATGGATCAGGCGCCAGCCTCACATATCCCCGTTGACCTTCGATTTCGCCGCGCTACCGCAGTCCACGCAATGCACCACCACGACTGCCGGCGCGATCGTGGCCACGCTCGAGTGGTGGAAGGCCGAGCACGCTTCGCGCGGTCAACTTCTCGTCGAAATTGGAGCAGACCCGTTTGAGGCCGCCCTGGGCATGTGCGAGGTGCCAGGGGTCGACCGCGTGATCGAGTGGTGGTACGCGTACTATGCACGGCACGGGCTGGCCTGGCCCGCGTGCTACCAGTCCGATCTGACCGACATGCTGCGCAATGGACAGTGCAACCAGTTTATATGGTGGTGGGCCACTGCTTCCCCCACGAGCCCGTGGCTGGTCATCGACACCCAAGTGGTACAACTCATGTGCGACTACGGCACGGTAGAGTTGCTGGACTGGTGGTGGGCACTCGATAGCGCAGCCAACAAAAAGACTTGGCGCCCGCGCGAGTGCTTCACACGCGCGCCGATCGCCGAGTGGTGGTACCAAAAGGCGCTGGCGGGGCTCTGCGATATGGCGGTGCTCGAGATCCGGCCCGAGTTGGCTGGCGTGTCCAAATTCGAGTGCCTCGTCAACCGTATCGGCGGTCCCCCTGCTGATCTCTCGGCTTTGAAATGGTGGTGGCAAGAGAACCACCGGACGATACTTGGTTTGGAGCTGGCACTGAGCGAGAGAGCACTGTTCAAGCTGGTGCGGTGGGGATGGGCCGACTGCATTAGGTGGTACTTCGAGTCGGTTTGCTCCGAGTCTGCTCGTATCCCCGACATCAGCGCCCGCATTGTACTAGCACTCATTTGTGACCGGGAGCCGCGGTTGGATCTGGTCGAGTGGCTGTGGCAGCTGCACATTGATCACAACGTGCCCTTTCCCTTGCCGGCCACAGCAAAGACCATCATTGACGTTTTTTCGAGTGAGAACGGGTCTGCATCCGTGGCGCTCGACTATCTGTGGGACCTGCACGCCCGTGCTGGTGTCCCGTTCCAAGCTGCCACCGCCACGGCCAGCTGCGTCCACGCCTGGCGACTGCTGCACTTTGATCAAGTCGACTGGTGGTATGCCATGCACCGAGTCCACGGGTACGTGTTCCCTACCGCTGCCGAGCTCCGGAACGAGATTGTCGCCGATCAAGGGCAGGCCGCATCTGAAGCGTGGTTGGATCGGCATTTTTATATTTCGCAGTAGATATGGCATGATTGCGCTGCTGCGGCCAGATTATTTCACACCGCAGTGCGCTTCAGATCATTTTCCCATCATGCATATTGTTTGAACTCTCGCATTTTCCCATCAACTCTGAACCTCTTTGCCACAATACCACTCGTCGTCGACCGATCTTGATAAATTTAAAGATAATGCGCCTACTTGCGTTCCTGGGCATCCTGACACTGTGTCTGACGGCGTCCGTGGCGGTCCATGCCGATGGAAACAACCAAGACGCGCACCCAATCCCCGTGACCACCGACATAGCCGCTGCCCAAAGCTTGTACTCGGATCTGCTGTCGGCGGATCAAGTGGCCGATGCGGCCGAAACGGCAGCACGCACGTTGGCGGGTCTGCTCAATCTTGCCGCCCAGGGACAAAACTACATTGTCGTGCTTAATCCCAACGCAGATGTTGCCCAAAGTACGTCTCCTATTATACAACGCGGATCTTCCTGAATGCTCACATGAAAAAATTAAAAGTCCTGGACCACCACAATTGGCTTGCCGAAAAGTTACTCTCGCTGGTCGGCCTGGGCCACGTAGTTCACAAGTACCACTTGGAGCCCGCGGTGGCATCGTCATCAACGCCATCCTCCGAAGCAGGCACCGCCGAAGTTTCATCGTCGGGAACCGGCGGCGCGTTTTACGGGTACAGCGGGACCTTCCACCCGTCGATCGTGCAGTTCCTGTCGGGCCTGCCAATCGTGTCGGTGATCGAGCCCGATGCAATTGCGTCGATCGGGCAGTCGACGACGCTGGCCAGCACCAACACCCAGACGCGCACGTCGTGGTCGCTGGCGCGGATTTCGCGCAAGTCGCGGCCCAACTACAACGACCCGAACCAGATGACGTACACGTACAATTTCCGGCGCGGGCTCGGGACCGAGGTGTATGTGCTTGACACTGGAAGTATGTCTTCAAACCTTTTTCTCTGCGGGGACTGTACAAATACTGACATGTCTTCAATGGATGAAGTCTACACGCAACATGCTGACTTTGGCGGCCGCGCCAAGACCACGACGGTTCCGGGAGTGCCGCAGACGGGCGGCGATCCAAACGGCCACGGAACGCATGTGGCCGGGATCATAGGATCCGCCACGTTCGGCGTGTCCAAGGCCGCGAGCCTGTTCGCGGTACAGGTGCTGGGTGCCAGTGGAACGGGGCCGTGGTCCAATATCATTAAAGGGATCGAATTTGTGGTGCAGCGCCGGCGGGCGTCGGGCAAGCCGACGGTGATCAAGTGCGTTGTTCTTCATCACTGGGGTATTGTGTGAGACTCAAACTGACGATATCGTGTACCAGTATGTCGGTCACGGGCACCCTGAGTACGTCGCTGGACAATGCGCTGGTGGCCGCGACCAACAACAACGTGCACGTGGTGGTAGCGGCCGGCAACGAAGCGTCCGAGACTTGCAAGCAGTCCCCCGGTCACTTGGGCGGCGGCACGTCGGCAGTGATTGTGGTGGGATCCATGGGCCAGTCCGATTCGTTCTCGTACTTTTCCAACTGGGGTGGATGCAACGATATCAATGCCCCGGGAGAGTTTATTGACTCGCTGGGCACGTCGGGGGTCACTTCGCGACGCACCATGTCGGGCACGAGTATGGCTAGTCCCCATGTTGCGGTACGTTTTGATCATTGATCTTTTGTTGAGACTGATCTTACCGGTTTGAAATACGGAACAGGGCGCCGTGTCGCTCCTGCTGTCCCAAGTGCCGTCGTGGTCGCCGATGCAGGTGAAAAACTACCTCAAGGGTCTGGCGCCCATGGCCATCACCAACACGCGCGGATCCACCAGCAAGATGCTCTATGTCGCCCCTCGCGTGTAGAGCAATGAAGGGAACGACGACAGGTCGCTGCGGAAAATATTTACCATCCACTTCTTTTTAAGGCAGGCATAATGAGCAAATGAATAAATAATTTTATATCATTGTATTTTCATCGAGCAACGACCCGCCATGGGTTAAGATATTGTCGAGCAGGCCGAAGCAATGGTGGAGATGGTGCCAGTGGAGGAGCCACGAACGCGCTCAAGTCCGTGATGGGGGACACTGCCGGAGATCCGAGCCTCGGCTCAGCGGCAAGCGGCGCCGATTGAATGGAGTCAGTGCGCAAGTACGGGAACGTTGCTGGCAGTGCGCTTGGCGAAAAGTGGCCATGTGAACTTGCAGCCGACCGCGTGGTCGCCGGGGGTGGCAGAGGCGATACAGACGAGGGATGTGGCCGCGGCGCGATCTGTCCACTCTCAGACACCCACGCGCCGTGCATGGCCCCGACCACGCCGTCCAGCAACGCCACGGTCGAGCCGATCATGGACTCGACCAGCACCAGCTGCTTCCACGCACCGACTCCACCGTCCGCGTCGCTGTCACCGTGGTCGATTCGTGACCGCTCGTCGTCGGCCCACCCTTGCACCACATACAACGGGTTGCGCAGCTCGTGCGCCAAGTACAGCAACAAGTGGTGTTGTGACGCGTGCAGCCGCGCCGACTCGCGCACGGTGGCGGCTAGAGTGCGGTCGCGCACGCGCATTTCCGACACGTCGGTGAGCACCACCACGTGCGAGACGTGCGGGTGCCCCGGGGTCGGGGCCACGCCCGCGGTCATTTCAATTGTGGTCCGCGGCGCCGCGCATACCAGGTGCACGTCGAGCCGCGCGGCCTCGGGGGGCGTCGGGTACGTGCTGCTGGGCCGCACGAGCGCGGGGGACGGGTACCGGTGAACGAAGTGGGGCTTGGCCTGTTGTTGTTGGTGACAGGTCGGTGCTGCTGGTCGTGGCAACTCGCACGATGGTGCCGCCGCTGCCATCGTGGTATTAGTAGCAGCAGCAGGTAAAGCGCCCGACATGGTCAAGGCTGAAGGGCGCGTCGCCGACAATCCCAAGAG